GGGGCCCGGGCCGTGCCGCCACCGCCGCTGAGGAGGAGGAGGAGGAGGAGGAGGAGAAGAAGCCGCCGCCGCGATGAGGAAGGGCCGCTCTCGGGGGGACAAAGCGGCGCCGCCGCCGCCGGCGCGGAGGGAGCCCGGGCGGGCGGTGTCCGGCAGCGCGGCGGAGCGCAGAGCCGCCCTGCTGGGGGGCGGCGGCAGGAAGGAGCCGGAGGACGCCCGGGCCGCGGGGGCGCCGGAGCGGGTAAAGCCGGGGCGCGGGGCGGGGGTCGCCGTTGTTATGGAGACGCGCCCCGCGTGGCGGGGCCGGGCCGAGACCGCGGCGCTCCGGGGGGAGAGCGGCCGAGGGGCGCGGGGACGGGGCGCGGGGAGGGGGCGCGGGGCGCTCGGTGCGGCAGCAGCCTCCGAGCATCCTCGCACGCTCCGTGCGCTCCCGCAGGTAGGTGCCCCCACGGGAGCCAGGGGTGGGAGCGGTGGCGTGTCCGTGCCGGTGYTGCCGGCGTGGCGGGAGTGAGTGGTGCGGGAGCCGCGGTGCCGGGAGCCTGCCCGCGTGCTGGGGAAGGAGAGAAGGATGCAGTGAAATCGGGTGTGTGCTCTTCTGGCTGGTGTTACTAATGACAGAACACATCTTTCTAGTAACCCTCTGTAGGTCACTCCTAATCGTGATGGCAATTATGATGCGTTTTCCAGCATTTTTAGGTCTTAATTCCAGACGTGGTTTATTTAGGAAACAAACCGTACCTTTGCAGAGACTTGAAAATGCACAGGCTTGTTACRYGTGAGGGTGTGTAAGTTCMATATGTCCAYTTCTRTGTCTTTCATAGCCAYAAAARTAGGATCTGCTGATTGGTGSTTRGGATGACAAGGATGAGAGACCSGAGAGATCCTAAATCAAAGTTCAGRRTCATCAAACACTTTGTTTTAATGGTCCTAGCTTTGCCAAAGATAAAAACGGGGGATGACACTTTGCAGTTGAAAAATATAGGTGACAACTGATGCTATTTTTTTGCTTATTTGAAGAGAAGGAGAAAGTATCAGAAGTATGAAGACTCCGGGGATGCAGTAATTCACTGCTCTGTTTTGCCACTTTTTTGGAGCAAAGAGAAAAACTACGTTCTTTGTCAAAAAGATGTCCTAAGTTTATGTTACTGTTGCAGATGCACAGGTTTATGCTATTTTAAAAATAATTTCTTAGGTGTTTTTCCCTGGAAAAACTGCATTACATGGTCTTCGATTATAGGGGCCTTGGATTTTGGCTTTGACCAGTGGATATYTCTTGAATACACATTTATCAGACTTGAAGAAGAAGAGACCTCTATTATTTTATTCTCTGGCGCTTTGTTAAGCCAAGTGGTTAAGAGGTGCTGCTGCTTTTGATGTTCATTCTTTTTTGAAACAATTAAGGAATGCTGCAATTTTTATTCAGGAAAAAAAATCTAAAATCAGAAGAGGTCACTCGGTRTSTTCCCAGCTRTCYATTAAAAGRACAAATTTGTAGGGCTACCAAATGYAACAGCGAGGTGTTKKTTGTACTGTTTTGACACATTGTTTATGATATTGACATGGAGATTGAAGGAAATTATTTCCGTTCTTGGTTGTTGGGAAGGAAACTTACAAATCGCGCATACAGAACACGCTGTGTTGAATAATGTATTGAACACTTGGGAAGTTTCACCAAAACAACCCCAACACTTTCTCCAACGGGGAAAGCTGCAAATTTGGAAGTGTCAATTTTTGAGATGCACAAGGCTTTCTAATGGGTGATAGTGCCAATTTGTGTTTACCTTGTGTGCTCTGACTAGGACCTGATGTGACTTGTAAGAACAGATCTTTGTGTGCTGGCAGGTGTTCGGTGTGATGGAGGAGTTTTTCAGCTCAAGTTAAGAAAGCTTCTACTCAGCCATGTGTGAGATGCCCCCCCAACTTCTAAAGAAAACTTCTCATCCCCTCTCCCTTTTTGTCTTTCATTTGAGGTTTTGTAAATGTGGTAAACAACTGCAAATAAATTGATATGCTGGGCAAATGTAACAAACAGCATTTCTGTCTTTAATATCAATAATTCAGCATTTATTTAAATGTTGGTTTTTGGTAGTGTGCGTGTGGTAAATAAGGCCTTCTGTGATGCAAAAGACAGTGAGATACTCTGTTTTCACAGATCCAGCTTGTAGCTTGACARGTATTTCCTTTGGGGCCACTTCTGATTTGAGTAACCCTGTTGTTCCTGAGCCTGTAACATGCCCTCAGCAGTGCCAGTGCAACAGTGTGCACAGCTGCAGTGAACCATTCTGGATTAAATTCAGATCCCTTTGTTTGCCATACATTTGCACAAGTCTGTGGCTGGGAGAGGCTAAGCCACTCTAGTGTTGAAAAAAGTCCTTATCAAATTGTGACTGCAGCAGTTAATCACTGTACTGACCTTAAGGCCTTTGAAAATCTGGTCCTTTGCTGTGCTTATAGTTCCGACATGCATACGATTAATGTTTGTGCTTTCTCCTGAGTTACGCAAGAACGTAAAAATGACTGTACTTGATCACATTAAAGATCCCTCTCGCCCAGTATCCTGCCTCTCCAAGCTGCCAAAAACAGATGCTTGGAGAAGAGTATAGTGTATATTGAGGAAATGCCTCTCCCAGCCTCCAGTAATTTGTGGCTCATAGGTTTCCGGAACTGGAGGTGATATTTGTTTTTAGAGCCCCCAGTGGGTTTTTTCTTCTATGAATTTGTCCAATCAGTGTTTGAAGCCATTTATGCTTGTAGCATCCACAACATCCTGTGGCTGAGTTGTAGGGCTTAAACACATTTTGTGTGGGAAAAACACTTATTTTTGTTTGCTTTTAAATTCTCTGCCTGCTTGGTTTCATGCCTYGCTTTTTACTTCTTGTATTGGAAGAGGCTGTGAAAAAGAGAATCCATGGTATTCTGTGTGACTTATGAGTTGATGACTCTTTCTTTTATTTACCATCCCTTGCTTGTGACTGTTCCAGAGGCATTTTAGAAAGGAGTGACTTTACCTCTTCGMTTGTCCTTGCTGTCTTCTTTTCACCTTTTGCAGGTGTGTTCCTGAYTGGAGACAGTGATGCAGGAATCTGAGGAACAGGGTTGGGTTACAATATCGAGGACCAGCTACAGTATTTCAGTGTATGCCACCCAGTAAACTTACATGGCGGATTAGGTTTTACTCTTTAATCTTCCTGTATTTTCTTGGCAGTCTTTAAGCAGTGAATTGGCACTTCTGTGGAACTGTGATAATTCCAGCCACTCTTCTAAGTGGTAATAACTAGTTCAGRATTTGTCATTTGTCATTCAAATGACATTGCATACATAAGTTTTTGTTTTTTTTATATACTATGCATCACTTTACATTTACCTGCTATTTTACAGCTCACTTAAACAGTGTCATTAAAGTCTTCTTCAGATCCTTGGGCCATTGCTTTTGCAGTCTTTGATAACTTTAAGCATTGTCAGCAAACTCTGTCATGTGTCAAGCTTCTTTGCTAGATTTTGCTTTAAAATATTGAAGGTGTTGATCCCATAAGGGATCCTTGTGAGACTCCACTGGTGATGCATTCTGTTTTGGGAAAAAAGCCAATTGCTCCATCTTATTTCCTGTGCATCAGTCATTAATTCATGACTAAATTGTCCTTCTTACCCCATGACAGTTTAGTTTCATTGAGTGAGGGCGTCTTTGTCAAACACAGCCCACTTGGATTTCCATGAAGGAGCAGCTTAATCACTGTAAGTTTGCTGACTGCATTGAAGGAGAAAAATGGGAAGTTGAGGTGAAAGTGATTGTTACTTAGGAATGACAGTCACCCTCAGCCAGAGGCATATTTTRAGCACTGTTTCCTTATCATGCTGACATAATTAGTTTTAAACATTGTTATATTTATAGTGAAAGATTTCACATGGATCATAGCCAATATTTGTCAGAGTTGCTGTTACTAGCATTTTCTGCTTCAGGTAGAAGACAAAAGTCCTCACAGAAATGATTCTTCAGTTTCTAGAAGATGGCTGTAGAGGGTTATGATGGAATTATACAAGACTGTGTTGTTCTGCAGAGGGTAGGTAGCAAACAGCAKTTCACTGTTTCCTCTGGTATCCAGTGATGACTCAGACTTTGCAAGAGGTGGATCTTCGTGCTAAAGAAAATACATGTATTTTTTATCATTTTCCCCTAAGGGATGTAATAGATGCAAAGTTAGGAGTGAAGATTATTTAATAGRTATACTCAATCCACCTGAGGACAACCCCTGACATCAGCTATAATCTAGGAGARCCCTGGARTGGGGCAAATGCATGATTCTTTCTTTTACTTGTCTGCATGGAATGCCCTTGTTATTTTTTGTAGGTTTTTTTCCATGAGGAGTGGGTGTTAACGTGTTCCTAACAAACCTAAATGCTGTTTTCCCTTGAGACCAGAGGGACGATAAACAGAGGTGAGGAAAACTGAGGTATTGTGGCAGGTCTAGTGGGATGTAGGTTGAGAGTCAGAGAGTAAAAATAGAGAATACTGAGCACTGAGCATCACTGAGTGACATTTTCTGCTCTAAAGGCCTGCAGGGAACCAGTGAGTGCCACCCAGGAGTGCTTGCTTGGAGATGTGACAAGGTGAGGGAACAGAAACAAACGCCATCACTTCTGACAAGCTTCCCTGTCTTGCTGTGGGTGGCTATGGAAGGATTTAASAGTTGATTCCACAACTTTGTGGCTTTGTTAGGAGGAGATGAAGGGGAAAACAATAGCAGGATCTCAGAAGGCAGTCTAAGGAGCAGGTAGAGGACTGCAAGTTATAGAGTCAGGATTTGGGGGTAKATGGACCATTTGTTGTATATCGCGTTTAACTCGGCTGGTTCTCATGGAGAGCTGGACYGAAATGTTGCTAAACCTGAAGGCTCCCCTGCTGTGTCTGTTTGTTGTATAGGAAATGTTCAGCTGATGCCAGCAGGAAAACTGCAAACACAGTACAGAGAAGGCCAAAAACCTCCTTAGTCCAGCTTAGTTTTGTATTGGGGAGCCCTTTCTGTAGGGCAGTCAGTGCAGTSAGCTGCCTCCGCTGGAAATTTTGACCTACCTGAAGAAGGGAGATCTGAAAGTATTTCCTGAGCTTTGAACAGGCTAACTGGTTTGAAATCAACTGATTTAACAGTGACTGTCTCTTGGAACTGTAGTGCTGAAGCTTTCTGAGAGTAGCAAAAATATTCCTTTTTTTCCACCTGTCTTTTAAACTTTGTCAATCTTTATGTC